CTCAAGTTCATTTAACCTCTGAAAACTTAAGACATATCCACTTTCTGGATCATATAAAACAACATTAACATTATTGCTTTATACTTTTTGCCTACTTGCCAATTTTGTTGAAGAACCTCTTATTCTTGTCAAATGAAAAATGAGCCAACAAAACTTCCAGTGACAGTGATCCAGTTGTTTAACCTCAGGCTGCCAATTTCTACATTCATTCCATGTTTCACTCTTTAATATAATTACTCCTGTTTGGAATAGGCAGTGACAGAATGATTTGACCTTTATGTATTACTACCTGATTAGTTTTTCCACATGTGCTGAAAAAAAATAAAATCATTTGCCAAACATTTGTATTAATATTCATTTAAAAGTGCTTTTGCATGTCCTCCATGTTCTTTAGGATAGATGCTATATAACAGAAAAGTACTTCTTTCTTCTTTTGCCCTACAGCTAAGCAAATTTTAATTAGTAATTATTGAGCCTTATGTCTTAAAAAAAAAAAATCAGTTTAATCTGTATGAACATCGTCAGGTAAATATATTTAGACCAAGGAGCACTTATTGTCACTATGACTACCCTGATCACTTGTGTTGCCACCCTGGCTGAACTGAAGGAGTTTTTGGATGCTCTGATTCAAAGAGGCATGAGATGGAGTTCATAATGCCAATTTGGTTTCCTGTTGTAGAGTTTGTTTCCTACATTGAGATTCACAATGGCCACTAAGCTAATTCTCAAGATACTTAATCAAGACAGGGAGAAAGAACAAGACCTGTGAAACTCTGGCTATGTCTGTAAACTTAGTCTTTCTCAATCTGCAAAAAGTGTCTTAAGATAACTTGCATCCATATGTCTTTCTACCATTCTTAAAGCTGGGGTCTAATGCATGAGCACTGGCCTGCCAGCATTAATGGTCTAACTTTCAATGCCTTGGTTACCCAGCTCAACTCAGTGTTTAAACCCACAGATTTAGCTTATCTTGACTAAACATCTACCAGTATAGGATGCCACAGCCACCTGGCTGGCATCAGCCCTAAAGTAAGGTGAAGGCCTTCTGCTCTTCTAGGCCCTGGAGGATTCCATGTCCTTCCTCTAGATTTACAGGCAAATTTGAAAAACTTGTTTGTACATATATATACATATATATGTTTATTAATGTTAAGGGAAGTTCTGCCTCTGGAGTCTGTTAACCAATTATAAATGTAAGAGCCTTAAGTACTAGTGTAGAGAAGCTAGACAATTGAACATTCTTTCCGTGTTTTCTTTAACCTCTTTTTGCTGAGACACAAAACCTTCAGTCTGTGATCATAGAAACTACATCATCATTAGTGTAAAATCAGTAGGGTAGGTCAGTGTTCCCAAAATAAAAAAAAGGGGTTTTTTTATCTGCTTCTTGATGTCTCTTTTAACTGCTCTAAAAGAAGTTATTTATCATATGAATTTTTTTTAAACTTTAAAATATGTACAGCTATCTTTTGCCTATTATAAAGGTTTTAACACTTTTTCTTCAGTAAGAAATATATTTTAGAGAAAATTAAGTCATGAACCACGTGATTTTTTTTAGAGTCTAGTCTTGACTGTTTCCTAGTAGATACAGCAATATGTTATTTATTTGCATGCAGTAGTTACCATCAATCATGCTATCCATGTTTATTCTTGATGTACAAGCAGCACCTTCCGTTAACCACATAAAGGTATCAGAGTAAACCAGACATCACAGCAGCTTAATAGATTTAGTCATAGCACAATTGTTAATGAAATCTTTATATTAATGTATATGTCCGATATCCTTCTAAAGGAACTCTGTCATGGATGAAAGTTAGCTGAGCAGTCATTAACTGAGACAAAGGGAAGGGTCACCTTGTACCTTTGGAAGAGAATGCTTCCAGTAACTGTAGCAAGGATGTGCAAATCTGATGGAAACACTAAAACTTCAAGTATATTAGGGAGAAACTGGGCAATGGTCCCTGGGACTTTTACATTCTACTTCTCCTGCTTGTTCATTGTTTGACAAGCTCTTCAGCTTATTACCTGCAAAAATCAACATAAGACAACACATCTGATGTCAAATGGAAGAGTCATAAGAATGAATGCTTCAAATAATCCTTCTGCAAAAGTTGCTATGGCAGCTCACCACAGTATTATTGAACCACCAAGCAGCTATAAAACAATGTTTAAAGAGCTGAACAGATGAGGACCAAGTACTCAGGGAGAAATAACGAACAGCTGACTTCAAGACTGTGCAAGTCTTGATTCATTAGTTAAGTATTAGTAAAGTATTTCACAATAGTTTAGTATATTAGAAGAAGACACTAAAACCAGACAAGCTGCTTGAACAGGCAGTTATTACTACTGGTGTTCAGAGAATTCAAAATAATTCTGTTTATATTTCAACTTTTTACCTGAGGACTGGATTTATTTGGACATACAAATCAGTCTGTTCACTTGGCAGACATCCTACAGCCATGACAAAGTCCAGCTAATGCACCAAAGGAGAACACCTCCTTCATAGCCTAGATATATATACATTAATCTTTACTCTTATTTAGGCATTGAGACTGGAATACAAAATTTAACCCTGTGGGTGCTATGATTTGGAATAGCTGTCTGTCATTCTCGGTATAAGGTTTCATGTTCCTGAGGAAAACCAAGGGATAAGACAACTCCCTCCAATACTGCTAAGGTGAGACTGGCTGAATTCTGGTGGAATCCAACCAGACTCTCTTGCCAGGAGGAGCTCACTTGATGAGGGTGTTGTTTTCCCACTCACGTTATTCATTTCCTTTCCTTCAGTAAGAAAACTGCCCTATAGCCAAAAGAAGCTATAAATTAGGAACTTCTGAAAAACATTTCTGTGTCTGAAGCCAAGAATGGTAGCTCTTACTAAAAAATTAAAAATAGAAGAATCTATAAGACAACAGTTTAAAAGAAGAGAAGGTAAACAATTCACATGTGACTGCAACATTAAGCATCTCAAGGCTGTGATTTCTCAGAAAAAAAAAAGTACTAGAACAAAGCATTATTTTACTAGGTAGGAAAACTTTTCTTAAGCCAAGATGTCAATTCCCTCATTTTTGCAATGATGGATGAAATAACTGGTCATTGTCCAAAACCAGGCAAACAGCCTCTAGCAACACAATAAAGACGTTACAACAAAGAACACTCTACACATGGGTATGTACAGGCAGCACTTGTGATAGGGGCAAGCCCTTTCAGACTGATTCAGAATGCAGACTGCTTTTCCCGTGTTTTGCCTTAAGTAATGGGCTATTGGCTATAACTGGGAATGGTTGATTCCTTCTGCTGTGAGATGCGGCATTTTATGAAATGAAAACATTTTCTTACTTTTTGACCAGTTTTAGTCAAGCTGCCCTCCTAGCTCAAAGAATCCATCTGGCACGTAACTTCCCCTAATCAAAAATCAGAAGGTTCAAATTACAGTTTCCCAGGGGCTGTGCAAGTGTTAGAATGGAGAAGAAAGCTTTGATGGATCCAGCATGCAACTAAGAAATGCTGTGAACTGATGCAATTAATGCCCCGTGAGATTGCGATTGGGAACTGCCACATCCACAGATTAACAATATTTCTGGCGTTGAGATGTTACAAATTCTGGACCTTTCAGAACAGGTATTTTGTTGTTTGGTCTGTTTGGCTTTTCCCAGGTGTAATGCTTTGTAGAAGCAGCAATCCTATTACAGGGTGGGAGGAATAGTTTGGAGTTGGAGTATATTTGTTCTTTGACAATTTTGATAAGGTCTGTGTTCTGATTTCTCTGCCTCATCTGTACTGTCTGTACCATGTTCCTCCCTGAACGTACAATACAGCAACAAGAACTCCAGGAGCTGAAACTTGCAAAATGTTCTCTTTGAGTGGCATTAGCAGTCTGCAGAACCTAGTGTGCTACACACAATGTGACAACTCTCCTTTCCTCCCCATTCTGCCATCCATATTCATAAGCAAATATAACAGTTACAAACAAACATAAGCTGTGTATACATAACAAACAACAGAAAAAAACTAAATATGAAAATGAAAATGAAAACAATCTCTGAAGAGATTGTTTTAATGACAGCTGTTAACTAATACATCAAGGAAGAAATTCCCACTCTTGAGTAAATTACTTTGTATGGGCAAATATCACCCAATAAAATAAACTGCTGATCAGGATGGAAATGTAAGGTTTCTAGCTTCTTTTAACTAAGTAGGTATTCCCCTCTGTACAGAAAACATTTTCATACGAGAAAGGTTTTCATATGAGATCAAACATAAGAGACTGAGAGCAAAATGCCCATGGTGCAGACTAATTCAACATGATTTTGTATAATGTTCAAACTTACAACTGATTTTTCGTTTTCCTCTGGGAAAGGGCTGTCAAAAGAAGCAGGCACTAAACAGACACATTTGCTCTTTAAGCCTGCATGTCTATTAGCATTCCTTCTTGCTGTAGATCTGAAATCAAATGCAGTATGTTTCACACCTGTAGCTATGAGACTTTTCTGATTTTGATAGCTGGAAACATCCTTTTTACTTATTCTGCAATGTCGTTATTCTTTCCCCTCTACAAGAGTGTTTTCTAGAAGCTCCTTTTTATTTTCTCTTTGCACTTTTTACTCAAGGCCACTAGATTGCAAAGTGAAGTGTCTAACTCTTTAAATAATTTAACATGAAAACACGCACATCTGGCCATCTGCTGCTACAGCTCAAGAAACTCCAACGTTTCCGAAGACAGCTGTTGACTACGCAAACGGCAAACCAGGGTAAGGCGGGACCCAGAACCTCAAACCTGCAGCAAGTATTTTGACCAAGGCAGGGCTCCTCTGAAGTGCCACCGCAGGCGTGCCACCGTTATCTCAAAAATGCAAAATAACTTTTCCTAGCAACTGTAACGTGCTTGGTTATTTTGTAGCACTTGCCGTGGCTCGGTAGGTAGCCGGGCTCCCAGCCCCGGGGCTCCGGCTGCCCCCGCACCGGCGGGACGGCGCCCGGGCTCTGGCTCGCGGGTCACTCACCATGTTGACTTCGGAGACCAGGTCGATGCTGGCGATCTCTATCCGCATGCCCACGTCCACGGGCGGACCTGCGGGGGGAGCGGGAGGCGGCGTTAGCGCAGCGCGGGGGGCCGGAGCGCGGGTCGGGGGAGCGCGGGCGGGGTGCCCGCGACGCCTCACCTCCAAGTTCGGGGCGGGGCGGAGATGTCGTTAGCCCTGGACAGCTGTCACTGTCGTTCTCCTTCAGTGCTAGGAAATGTTGCTGGGCCCGTCGGCGCGCTGGGAAGGCACATGGGGGTTAGGGGGGGGGGGGGGTGGGGGGGGTGGAGGCCGCCGGGCGCGCCCCGCGCCCGACTCGCGCCCGCCTCCCTCCTGCCGTCTCATCGCATGCTGGCGGCGCTCACTGGCGGTACGCGCAGCCGACGGCCGCGCCAGCAGGCAGCAGCAGTTCGCCGCGCGTCACGGCCCGCCGCGCACCGCCGCCCGCCATCCCGGCGGCCGCTCGCGGGCGCGACGCGCCCGCGCGCTGGAGACTTGGCGCGGCAGGGCGAGAGCCCCAAAAACAATTGCCGACGGCGGGCGCGATGCGCTCGAGCGCCGCGAGGCCACCGGGGCGCAGCATCCCTGCCCCCTGGGCCGGGGCGCGGACCGTCCTGCGCGCAACAGGTGCCGTGGAGCGCTGAGGGCGGGACAGGCCAGGGGCTGGCGGCGACACCGCGGGGAGCCGGAAGCTCCTGGGCTGCTGTGGCCAGGGCAGCCAACAGCCGGTGCGCCCCCCTCAGCCAGCTGGAGCGGGGGCTTCCCGTCAAGAGACCGTGAATAATTGCTGAGGGCACCTCTGTGTGAAAACGCACACCGATGGGGTGTTAGCCATAACGCGAAAGGGAAATGGCAAATTCGAAAGCCATGGCGCGTTTCGGTGCAGGTAGCGCTCTGTCCCGCTGCCGAGGCTGGAGGTCGCGCCCGCCCCTCGGAGCGCTCGCCGCTCCCGCAGCGCGCCCGCCCTGCCCCGAGCGGGAGGTCGTCTCACATTTTTAGTTGTGATTGTACAACCAAAGTAATTGATCTTGCCTTTAGAACGAGGTTGGTTGGTTGATTGATTGATTGATTTTAAGACTCTTGGAATGGATGCCCTAATGTAACCTCACCTCTCGTGAGCAATATTACACGGTGACCGATCGGAGCCCTGTGAACCTGTGAACAATTTATGGCTTTGCCGGTTCCGCGCCGCTCTGTTTCACTGCACTGTAGCTCAGCAGAAATAACATTTCTTTAGGATTCAACCTACTTCACCTGTGTGCTACACATTCTGCACGTGGTGACCTTGGGATACGTATTGGATGCTTTTGAGGCTACTACAGCGTCATGCAGTCCTGTTTCTGAGAAATGGCAGACTTTTGATGAAACTTTTTGTCACTGAAATATGCCAAATATCGAAAAATGCAGGAATATTGACTATAAATAGTTTGTGACACACATACTAGTGATAATTTTGAACATTTTAACAATGCATTTTTCTGTGCAAATTTGTTGTTCTTGGAGAAGGACCACAACACCCTTACTGAGAGGTTACCATGGGAGTCTTTCACATCCGCTTTCTCTAACCATGACAGTACAAGGTTATGAAAATAACTATTTTTCTGATGTTTTATAACAGTATAATAAAGATTTTCAATTTTCTTTGAGAAGTATTACATATATTTCTTTTCCTCCTAGTTCAGTAATTAGTTGCTGCAAAATGTGACCTCCCAGCTCAACTTGATCGTACCTTAGCATTGCTATTTGGAAAGAGTTTTGTTCAATTACAATTGGTGTGGCTTGCATAGAGCACTTAAAAAAGAAATCCTACCGTAGATGTCTATCACAAAGTAAATTTATTCAGAGTTGTATCACACACAGCCATAATAAAGTTCCCTGGTTCATCTGAAGCACTGAATTAGGATTTTCCATGGGACTATAGAGTCCCTTGTACTTTTTCGTGGTGAGCAGCATTATATTTAGCTTTGTCATAAGCCATGTGAAAGTCAAATATACCTGTGTGAAAGGGAGACCACTGCTCTCTCCCGCTTGCCAAAATTTGTTCTAAGGCATAAGTGCAGGCATTTATTCTATATGAATTCTTCATTTGCTGCACATTTTGGGGCAACTTTAGTTCAGATGAGCTGTAGTCTGGCCGCTGGACTAATGGTACATTAATGCCTGAACTGTTTTAGGTGCTTTTCTGGAGCTTATCATCTGGTCTGAGAAGGCATGACCAATGCCCGTCCTGCAGGTCTCCTGCCATTAGGGACACCTCAGCCCAACAAGTATATTTCCAAGGAGGATGAGGATGTTCTCCTTGGCAAGTCAGTTTCTCTGAAAGCTCTACCACCTGATCTGTCCTGGCTTCTGCAGACCAATCTGGAGCTTCCTCCACCAAACATCCCAAAAATAAGACCCAAAGCTGGCATACTGTAGAAATTCAACTCCATTTTGTTCAACTTGATTGCTGGGGACATCTGGGCTCGAAACTGGGGTCTTGAAACAGCTGCAAATATCCTGCTGTGTGGAGACAATACTGAAAAGCTCCCTCACTAATTGGGGCTTGGGAATAAAGAGGTTTATATGGTGCTTTTAATAATCACACAAAGGAGGACCTACATAGCATTACACTGCCACAGCAGGCATGGTGAGAAGGGTTCTTTTTGTCCCATGGGGTGGGTGATGGAAACATGTCTGGGACCTTTTTTCCATTGCTTTTGGGACTAAAAAAGATGAATTATTATCAGCAGGACTTCCATTGTGATGTGTTACCAGCTGAAGTGGTAAATGGTTTAAGAACTTGAAATTCTGCTTTCTTTGCAGATGATCTGTTTCTAGGAGAATATAGTATGCTTTTCCAGGCCACCAATGTGGAAGAATTTTGTTATAATTTTGATAAAAACACACCTTGTGACATAATTCTTGCTTTTGGCAGCTCTTTAATAACCCCTTATATGAAGAACAGTTGACATCCAAAATTAATGACTATGGGGAAGAGGCTAATTCTCAAAGCCCAGATATTATCAGTATTGTTCACAAACATTTTCTAAAAGCTTATACAGATGCCAAGACATCTGGTGATCGGATTTGCACATGTGGTTCAAACTGCAGCTGCTTCTGCAGTTGATAAACTTGATTCAAAACACAGTAGTGTCTTTCCATCCACTCCAGTGGGGTTTGCTCACTTACTCAGGCTGAGTGAAACCTGATGGGTACCCAACATGGCTTTTGGGCATCTTGGAATTTGCTGAGCACCCCAGAATGTAGGCATTTAAGTAGATGTGCTAATTTTCAATTTTGGAAATCAGGCTGCTTAGTGTCTAAAGTCCGAGGAGGTTAATCTGGAGACTTTTGCCACATTTTTAAATGTCTCTCACCTCTGAGATAAGTAGTTGTAAATCTATGTTTTCTAATAAGATTGGATATAACATGTAGTCTAACAAGATTGCTATACCAAAAAAAGTGCATGTCCCCTGCATGGAAGCATCTGTCTTGACAGAACCATTAAGTATTTCTATCACTACTACCTTTCCTGTCCACTGCAACTGTCAGTGAAATGAGCTCCTATGGCAGAGCTGTCACCCTGACCCATCTGTGCTACATGGTGACACCAGCAGTGTGCTGAGGTGCGACACAGCCAGCTCACAGCCTGTAGGAGCTGTAGCACAGCTGTACCAAACCTAATTTGGTTTTCAAACTTCTGTGGTGGCTTCAATTTCAGCTCTTATGATCTTTTCTTATGGTTATTTTCTCATATTTGTATTCAATAAGCTCTTTTCTTGAAACCTTTGCTCATGATAGTGCCAAATTCCTTTCCCAATAATTTCTACTGTAGTTTAGTAAATATAGGGTCTGTGAAATAGACACACAACTTGTGAATAAGATTTTTAAAAAATATTTTCTGGTCTGTGTTAGTGAAGGCAGACCTTTTAGGTTGGAAATAGTTTCATATTTGTTAAACGTATATAAGCACTAGTAAACTAAAACAATTGAAATCCACTAGTTCTAACATATTAGCCCTGTCGTTTTTTTCATATTCTAGGCATGTCTAATGCCTGCTAGAATCAAGACAAAAATATAATCATAAAGAGTGATGCATAAACCATCCCAGGCCAGCTGTATGTTCATTTTTACCTTCATCATGCATAAACTTTCGTGGGGGTAATCTTTTTTCTTACACAGATGAATGTTTTCAGTTTATTGAAGACCTTTTTTGCAATGCTTATTTTAATTTGGAACCAGAAAGTGCACACAGTACAAAGATAATGTCCTGCTCAGACAGTGTTGGCTAGTTTAAAAAAATGCAACATCACTGAAAAAAATGGAATTTCTTCCTGTGTCCCACTGAATAAGATCTGTAGGCAGGAAGACCACAAGTTTTAATGAAACTAGGGGAGGAAAAATGCAAAAGTAGTGGCTATGCAATCTCTCTCTAGTGATACATTGTGCCTTCTTAAATGTAGAATGAAGGTAGGTATATCTTTGTGCTTATACTCAAAAAAGTAAAGGCGAGCTGTGTGCCTCATACTGTGCACTTTGTATGTGGAGATGATGACTGAAAATGTTAATATTCGTAATACTGACAAGTTTTGCGTCATTGCAAATAGGGACTTGCAGACCCAGGATATTCCTAATATGTGTCCAATTGGAATTGCAGTTTTTCAGTCAGTGGAAAAAACTATTGCGGCAACAGGTACACCAGGCACAGGCCAGAAGCAGGATTGGTATGAAGTGCGAAAGCATAATTAATTAGGAAAACTTTATTACAGTATGACAGCATGCACAGAAAACAGATCAGGAAACCAAACTCAGGATCTTTAGATTATTCCTTGTCAGATATCTGTACCCCAGTGTTTGCTTGGCTGCGTGGATTTTCATACTGCATACGCAGCTAGAAGAATAATGAGAATTAGAATGGGTATACATTTTTTTCTTACTTGGCATTGAGCAGGTGACATTTGTCAGTAACTATACCAATAAGATATATTCAAATTTTAGATCAAATTTGGAAAAATTAAGCTAAATGGTTGGGTTTGAAAACTATGAAATGAAACCTAGGAACT